GCGTGGACCTGAATCGCGCGAACAAGTATGGAGACACTCCCGCAGACGAGGCTTTCATCCAACTTTGGGATGAAGCACTCGAGCTCCTCCTCAAGGCCAGCAGAGGAAAAACTCTAAGCCCCTCCTCTACACGCCTATGTCCTATGCCAAAAACCCCTCTAAGCCCCTTCCAAACTGAAGCCAAGACCCCCAAAGCCCGGTAATCTTTTCGCAGTTCTCTCCCTGCGCACCAGGCTGGGAGCCACCGCAACGGCGACGAAGCGTCGGAAGAAAGGATCGACTTCGACTCCGATGACTCCGATCATCAGCCGGCGTGAGGTGGGCTTTAGGGCCAGTCAGGGTCAGATTGCCACATGTCTGCGTCCTCCAGCTTGAAACTGCACTCAAGTTAGAAGCCCAAGGTGAAATCAGATCTCCTGTCCCGAATGAGCACCAAACCTTCGAACGAAGCTTCTGAGAAGACACAGCCATGCAGAGCCCTGCACCCGAAAAACCCGCAACCCCAAATCCCCAAAACCGGATGGGATCCCATAGCCGGCACCTGACTGTGATTTCCAGTGTGCTCGGGCAGCGTCGCGGTGCTGTGGTAGCGTGCGGAATGCAACGGCAGCCTGGAATCGGAAGCCCAGGACGTAGCACGCACAAGCGAGCGAGGATTCTCGCAAAACCCAGCCGACGCACCAACACTGCCAACCACCTTCCCAAGCTCATCGTCGTGCTCGACGCAGGCCCGGCACCCATGCTCATGAGCGCACCTGCAGCAGCGAGTTCCGTGACACGCCGCAGCGAAGCCGCGACCAGGTTTGCCGGTGCTTCCCAACGGCAAGGTGAACTACAAGGCCTTGAAGGCGATGGCCGACAAGGAAGCCTCCCAGGCACAGAAGACTGTCATGGACTCGCTCGGGCAGATGAAGTCCATGTCCCGAGCTGCCATCCTCGAGAATGCAGTGATCCACCGCTGCTACGCTTTCTGGATGCTGGGCGTCCTCACGGATCACTACGCCTGGTGTGCCATGAGCACGGACCCCAAGGCCAGAAACGGCACGACACGGCATCTGATGACGCTAGGTCTGCACAGGTCGCATGCGTGCTCATCCATGTATATCCATGTGCACGAAGCCACCATGAAAGGACCCCACTGGGATGCGGTCCCTTCCCTTCTGCACAGCCTTGGCCTCCTGGAACGTCGCCCCGTGGGCGGAGGCTCTCGTGCGCTCCCTTGGCAACGACCAGGCACGGGAGGGAAGAGGCTCTGGTTCATGTTGCGGGAGTGAGGGAGTGCAGACCGCAGGACCTCTTTGGCTTCATCATGCTGGGCGCCTATCAGGACTCAAGGCCCCAGAGCAGCGAGGCGCGCAAGCGCGCGCGGCTGGGCTGGTCGGACCTCTTTGTCTTCGCGGTGTACCTGTTCATGGCCATGCCGCTTCCGCAGATCTTTCGCGGCATCACGGGAGGTTGGGCGTATCCGGACAGGACCTCCGCGGTGCTAAGTGTTTACTGAACAGTTTACTGTGGTATGCAGTGGTATGTGAGATTCTGTGAGTCCGCCTCTCGCAGCGCTTTCGAGTGCTTCTGAAGCAGGACCTGGCAGACTTTCAACGTCACACAGGGCACCAACGGCTGGGACCAGGCCTACATGGAAAACTCTGATGCCACAGCGGGACATCGGTGGTATCTTCAGATGGTCTTGTGCGCCAAGCTCTACCTCGTGATCTGCGACAGCCT